CTTAAACTTTCGGCCCTACAGCACACTCACTATGAATAGTCGTATACTGTTTAGAGAAATCAAGTTTACACTCCAATGTCGAATTTTCTTAAGTTATACAGCCAATACATTTCCTATAAAGAGATGCGGGTACATTTCATGTTGTTGAATGTTACATTATTGGCTAGGTAATATATTTATTATATATTGTTTTTTGCAGTGCAGTAAACAAGAAATCGCCAGACTGATCCTATTCACTGTAAATGTAATCCAATAGCCATCCGATTATGATAGTTTATGGTCAAAATTCATTATTTATATCCGTTTTCTTTATCATTTGATGTTTAGCGAACGGCAGAAATGCTGCTACGGAAAAGCGGCCAGCCCTGGTCGTCAATATAACACCAGCTAAAATGTGCAGTCAGAGCGGGTGTTCTTGGCGTTATAGTTATAGAAGTATATGAACAGTTGGTTCAAATTAGACAATGAAAGGGGGAAGGAGGGGGGGGAGAGGGGTGAAATGTTGGCAAAGTATGAGCTAAATAGGCCGCCGAAAGAAATACTGTTTGCTTATTGTTTGGCAGGATGTGAACGAAATTATAGTTTTATGAGCAGTTAGAGATTGGTATCGCACGCACACACGCGCACACATTCACACACGCACGCACGCACACACACACACACACACACACACACACACACACACACACACACACACACACACACACACACACACACCACCACAACACACACATTCGGGAGGGGGGGTAAGTGAACAGTATATAGCCATAATTTTTTTCTTTTGCATTACTATTCCATATAAGAATAGACTTAGAAGATGAAGTAACGAGATACGAACAGTGCCAAATATACGACGAAGGAAAGGCGGAAAATGAAACCCAAGAAACCCCGGCCAAGAGAGACGGGAATTCTGCCGTTTTCTCAACAGAGCTCCGAAGATTGGAATCCCGCAAGATTTTGAGGACGAATCATATCAAGATTGGGAGGGAAATGAGGTTGGCTCCTGCCGAGATGTGATTAATATCCATAAGATTAAGATGGTGGGTACTTTGGGGCACTTTGTCGCGGAAGGAAGTCCCAAGTTAGGGTGATTAGTTGCGAAATGAGCGTGTTCTCGATTCGAGGAGAAGGGCTCTCGATTAGCATGGATGATTGGCGAATCATTAGGATGTTTTTTTTTTTTTTCTTTTTTTCTTTTTCTTCCTTGTCATCTTCTTCCTCCTCTCCCTCGTCTTCTCTCCTTCCACTTCCTCCTTGTCTTCTTCTTCCTCTTCCTCCTCCTCGTCTTATCCTCCTTCTTCTTTTCTTCTTCTTCTTCTTCCTCTTCCTCTTACTCTTCTTGACTGTCGAAGCGCTTAGACAGTTTTTATGACTTGTATGTGACTTTTGACATATTTGGATGGCTGTCGGTCACGTGTCGAAGTTGACTGTCGAAGCGTTTAGACAGTTTTTTACGGTCTTGAAAAGACTGTTAGTCACTTTGAGTGTCGACTGCTTTGCCTGACTGTTGACTTTGTTGACAGTCGATCACTTCAGCATAATAGGTACTTACAAAACTGTCGTTCGTTTTACTTTGACTGTGAAAGCGTTACGTCGATTTTGCGATCAATTAGAAGACAATTGATTATTTAAGCTGACTGTCGATGTTTCGTTTCGGTGACAGTTTGACAGATGGCAGTCGATTACATTATCTGATTGTCGAAGCATTTAGCCCCGAATTCTATTTCATTATGATGACTGTCGATAGTCTTATCTATTTATTTACTCATTTTAGTGACGCGGTCGATTCGTCTAAAAGGACTGGATTCGCAAAGTCGATTCGACGCTGATATTCAAGCGTCGATTCAGAGAAAGGTTTGTGTGGAGGAATTGGTCAGTCGATGGGTTTACGTCATCAGAAAATACGGCTGGGAAGTACGTTTGTCTGTTGGTGTAATTTGGGATGACCCTTTCTCCCTCTCACTCCCTCTACCTCTACCCACCCGTTTCTTTAACCTTACCCTCTCCACCCCCCCTCCCCTCCCCTTCTCTCCTATCCTTGCGTTGAGCAAACCGACAACCGACTGAGGCGAGGAACCGAGAGGTAAACAAAGCAAAAATCTACGGCAACAAAACGCCATGCTTGGCAGACGCGCTCCGGGATTCCACACTGGTGCATAATCCTGTGTTCTCCCTCGGCCAGATGCGAGCATTTAGCATGGCGTCTTGCTGGGGACAACTAGACATAGGAAATCTAATGTTCAAACATTTTTTTTTTTAATACTAGTACTTTGGAATCGTTGCCTTATATGAGATATCGGCTGTTATCTGCATTCACGAAGAGAAAGGTTAACTTGTCACGTGAGGATGGAGTCGATCACGATATCTCGCATTTTAGTTTTATATATATTAAAAAAATGATAATAAGGGTAGATTCGCTCGCGGTGCAAACACTATAAACACAGAACCGGCCATAAATGCAAGAAGCACGTCAGAATATATATTTTTGTCGTGAATAGCCTCTTGGATCTTTCAAACCGACAGTCGGGTAGTTTCATGAACAATGAGCGTAGCCTAATTCCCGAATAGATATGAACTAATAGTTTTTTTTAGTTTAAGCTTTTTCGACATTTTAGGCTTGTAGTTTTTTTTAGGTTGTAGTCTAATCACTAGCAGCTTTTTGAATGTTGCGAGTTTTTGCTCTTAGATAAACCCACACGACATCAGTAATATTGCTTTCTTAAACGAGACTTTATTTTCTTTATTTCTTATTTCAATTATCCGCTCTTTGATATATTTTATTTATTGATTTTTATTTCATCTGTCTGCACATCAATATATTTTCATCTATTTATTTTCGTCTTATTCATCCGCACGTCAGCATGTTTTCTTTATTTTTTATTTTATTTGCCCGCACTGTGTCATTAAAATTATTTCTTGAAATTATTTATTTTATTTGTCAATTTTGTTTTGTTTACCCTTATGACGTCATTATTACTTTTTGAAATGATCGTTCGTTTTACTTTTAGTTTTTACCCCGACGGTGTTATATGAATGTCACTTCTTGGAACCAAAAAGTACTGTAGTCGACTTGATTTTCTGTACCCGCACGGCGTCGGCAATAACTTGTATAATTTATATTCTCATATTATTTTATATGAAAACCCGCACTTATCCTGTGAATATAGTGAGTCTCTCTCTCTCTCTCTCTCTCTCTCCTCTCTCTTCTTCTCTTCTCTCTCTCTCTCTCTCTCTCTCTCTCTCTCTCTCTCTCTCTCTCTCTCTCTCTCTCTCTCTCCCCTCTCTCTCTCTCTCTCTCTCTCTCCCTCCCTCTCTCTCTCCTCCCTCCTCTCTCTCTCTCTCCCTCTCTCTCCCTCTCTCTCTCTCTCTCTCTCTCCTCTCTCTCTCTCTCTCTCTCTCTCTCTCTCTCTCTCTCTCTCTCTCTCTCTCTCTCTCTCTCTCTCTCTCTCTCTCTCTCTCTCTCTCTCTCTCACCTCTCTCCGCTCTCCTCTCTCTCTCTCTCCTCTCTCTCTCTCTCTCTCTCTCTCTCCCTCTCTCTCTCTCCCTCTCTCTCGCTCCCCTCTCTCTCTCTCCTCCTCTCTCTCTCTCTCTCTCTCTCTCTCTCTCTCTCTCTCTCTCTCTCTCTCTCTCTCTCTCTCTCCCCTCCCCTCCCTCTCTCTCTCCCCCCTCCCCTCTCTCTCTCTCCCCCCCTCCCCCTCTCTCTCTTCCCCCTCCCCTCTCTCTCTCTCCCCCTCCCCCTCTCTCTCTCCCTCCCTCCCTCTCCCTCTCCTCCCCTCTCTCCCCTCTCCCTCCCTTCCGCGCACCATATTTAACGGCTTGTTTTTAGCAAGGACCGAAGATGAAGGATTGGAGAGCAACACACTGTGGTGGCGAGAAGGGTGGGTTGGGGGACGGGGGGGAGGGAGGAAGGAGTGGACGGGGGGAAAGGGAGGGAAGGGGACGGGGGAGGGAGATTGGATGGAAAGGGGGGGGGGGGTCGCGGAGAGTACAAACATCATGTGGAAAAGGGCGGTTTGGAGGTTCCGATGAGGGTGGGCGTTGGTGAATGGGTATGAATGGGGGGCGGGGGGGGGGGAGAAATAATTGAAGATTTGCCATCAGAGGAAGGTAGTTCACGTGTTCAAAGAGGAGCACGATGAACGATGAACACCGAGTTTCATCTTCCTTTTCTTGTTCACTGAATTTCTTTCTACTTCTTGTTTCGTCTCTTTTTTTTCGTGCTCATTTTTTTCTGCTTCTTGTCTCGACTTTTTTTTCTTGTTTATTGATTTCTTTCTACTTTTTGTTTTGTCCGTTTCTTATTTTTTGTTGAATATCTTCTACATCTTGTTTCGCTTGTTTTCTCTTGTTTATTGATTCCTCTATTTCTTGTTTCGTCTGTTTTTTTTCCTGCTTGTTTCGTTAATTTCCACTTGTCCCTTTTGCTTCCCTTTTTCCCTTCTTCCTCTTTATCATTCACTGCTCGCGCTAGACCGTTATCTGTTTACATTTAGGTGTACATTCGTATCCCTCACATCCGGGAATTACATGTGAGAAGTTCCAACAACTACGGTCAAGTTACTGGCCGTCGATGGTAACAGTAACTGAATACTTTGTAAATTTCAGTTTGTGAAATATATATTTTTTTCTCTTTTACTTTTCCTAAATTTATTCGTTTTGCATTGGTACCTCATGTGTAGATTAGAAATGATTTGATGAATGAATTGTCCGTTTAGTCTCTCTCTCTCTCTCTCTCTCTCTCTCTCTCTACTCTCCTCTCTCTCTCTCTCTCTCTCTCTCCTCTCTCTCTCTCGTCTCTCTCTCTCTCTCTCGTTTTCCTTTTTCTCCCTCTCTCTCATCTTTTCATTTGAATTCCACATATATAGTCACATGTGCCAATGTCATTCCCTGTCTTGAAGATTATAAACATTATATTTCTGCCTTTGAAGCTCACCCAATTTTAGCCCCGAAGGTAGGCCTACACAGAACGCGTGTTGTCATTTCTCCCTCTTCCTCCGCAG